AGAGAGAGAGAGAGAGAGAGAGAGAGAGAGGGGTACCGTTTTATGTATGTGTATAAAGAATGGTACTTTTTATTAAGACATAATATGCCGGCCTTTTTTTTACAGGAATAGACTTTATTTCTACGATCAGTCCACAGTAAACGGGTGCATCTTATATTTTCTTCGTGTTACTTAATTTAATTTAATACTAAATAATTTAATAATCCCCCTGTTGCACCAACCGACTTCAATCGTAGAATTATTCAGCAAAACGGTTCCTTGCTCTGCCGCGTAACAATCATTGTGCATTAGTCTACAAAAGTTGCCCACGCACTAAATACGGGCCAAGCCGGACAGCTTCTTAGTCTACGTTCATAATCCAGTGTTGTTGTACTAACAACAACAGCATGCCCTTAAATCTCGTAATCAAACACATTGCTATTGCATAACCAGTAGCTCATCTAGTCATGCGAAGTATCGTAGAAGCAAATTTTATCACTTACGGGTGATAAAATCCGCATCTGTTTCAACTGAAGGGACTCCTATGCCTGATAGTTCAAACCATTGATAGTAGAGTTCGTGCAAGTCGTTGCAAATGTCCCTGAACAATCGGAAATATAATACAAAAACTTGATTGTCAGCCAAGGGAAACCAAATGACGCTTGGAGAACGCTTACATAACTGCGGCGGCGATTTTATTGGCAGGTAAATGCGTATAAACGTTGAGGATTGCGATAACTATTGAGCGCAATGGTGGGCATACGCATGGACTGAACTCCACGTGATTATCTACTACACGGCGCCTAACTGCCGGCGGGAGGCCCTGCATATATATATATATATATGTCGAGACTTATTGGGGTCTCACATAATAATGTTCTATACATAATAACATAACGGGTTAAAATCTGGGCATTTCGGCGGCTGTATCTGCCAATCCCAGAACAAGCTGGTGTTCTCAAGCAGCCAACGCTTCATTAATAAGCCTGTGTAAGCTAATACACCATCCTGCTTGAGGATGTTGATAATGTCCTCATTGATGCGTTGAAGACATGAGCTTCGGCCGAAAATTTGCTTCTACCCATCACAGGCTCATGCTTCAAATAGCGAGCAAGCCAACGATGATTTTTGCGGTTGATAGTTGAATCGATGATGAAAAATTTCTTAGAGAAAAGTCGGAAATGACCTGCTGCTTCATTCTTCGGAGAGTTCATTAACAAAAAACACGCAAAGAGCATCTGTTTGGCTTTTATGACCCATAAGATGTACGTAAGATCTTCGTAAACAATCCGTGACATCCTACTCATTTAGAATATCTTCACTAACGCCTGATTGAAACCGAAGCATCACTCACTTTTGTGCGGCAGTAATTAACTTTGAAGTCTGCATTGTTCCCTTTATGTCGCGGACTTTTCGTTGTGCTCTGCTAAAGCTTGTCCCTTCTGCAGTCGCATAGTCATTTACGATGCTGTACGCCGCCGATTTCGGGTCACCCCAGGAGCTAATAATCTAAGTAAGGCGTTCGTCTATAGTACGGAAATTAGAAAAGAGATGACTTTGTTTCAAAATTTCAAAACGACACACTATTCTTTGCCCTTACGAGCTCCTTGATCTATTACAAAAGGAACTGGTTTTAGTCTGGTAGCGGAAGTAGCGGATGAACGCATGCTCGTTATAACAAACAGCCCGCCAGTCTGACTAATTACCGGTGCCCAGTGCGTGTCATTGCAATTCGTAACGTCCTGGTGTAGAAAGAAGCACTTCTGAATCAATCACTCACGCCCCGAAGCGTCATTATATTCGCTGTTAAGGAAGGCGTCCCCGTCTCAGCAGGTTGGCCGTTCGATTCACCGTTACATTGCACTATTTTATCTATATTGCGGAGAGACAAAATAGTTACGACAGAACAATAAATCGGACACATCTGAGCTGAAGTGTTCGTTGTCTGCTGAATGTACGTTGCACCCTGCTGAGTGTGTCGTCAGGACACGTTCCGACTCTTCATTTCAGCGCTTTCTTGGCGCGTGATGGCAAACATCTTGACGCTCTATCGATACGAAACAAGATTCATGTACAAAGTATTTAGCGACTACAGCGAGAGTGCTTGGCCTGCCAGTAAACGGCTTCCAGAATATTCAGGAGAACGTCCTATTTACGCGACACGAATACGGGGGATTAGCAGCGGACAAAAAACGGAGATCAAACTAAGATGAAATTGTCTCATAAACAAAAGCCGTAATGGGCATCAACATCCATCGGGGAATCGACACAGTTATTGACCCACAAACTATTTTTTACGTACATGAAATATGCTTGTTTGGGCCCTGGTATTCTTTATCCGTATTATTCAGAAGTTTCGAAGGAAAAACGATCCGAAAAATCGGTATAAATAATCTATGCTATTATCGAATAATGGCTGAAGTGACGTATTTAGAAACTGCGATCGTATTCTGTTGGGTTGCTTAGCAACGTGCGGGTAACACCCTTAAGTAGAATAAAATATTATACCCCAACATGTAATATCTACGAAGAACATTCATAAAATTCACATTCTGAACGAAATTCCAATTTTAACTTCGCTCAAGAAAAACTATTAT